GGACGAGCTGGACGACGACGACGATGTAGATCGTCGTCGTCTAGGCGACAGGGCGACGGGCCTCGACTTTCTGAAGTCGTCCTTAGCTACGCCTTGTGCACCGCCAGCGGCACCGTCTCTGCCCAGCACGAGTCACGCTCCAGAATCTGTGCACCTAGATTCTCTGCCCGAAGCCGCCACTGAACATGTGACAAACACGCCTCGGACGGAGCTACATGAGGTGTCCGACGAAACTCCATCCCGTCAAGCGCCACTACCGAAGTTGCGTTTACGGCAAGCAACCATTACGTGGGGAACTCCACCACCTGCTTCGAGTGTTCATGCTTCTGTGGCGGAGGAATCACCCAATCACGACAGCTCCAAACCCCGTCCCGAAAAACTTGTGTTGAATTACGAAGAAGCGCACGACCGTTTCAAGTCGAGGTGGTGTACAGATTATCCATGGCTGATACTAACTATGACTGCTGCTGGTGCCCCCTCTTTTAAGTGCACCATCTGCATGGAATTCGCGGGACTGGCAGGCAAATGTGGACGGCGTGGAGAAGGCGCTACCGATGTGCAGACGCAGGCCTTCAAGAAGCATGAGGGTACCTCGAAGCATCGGTTAGCATTGCAAAGGCAGGACGACCTGCTGCAGAAAGTGGAGGGACAACGTCGCATCGATCTACACCCCAAGGCGAAGGACAAGGAGATGGTGCAGATGTCGGCGCTAGCGGAGTCGTTGTACTTCATGAGCAAGTGCAACGAGCCCATGGACTCATGGATCCGGCTCGTGCGCTACCTCGCAAAGAAAAAGGTGCCCGGGTTTCCGGAGAACGGTTACGGCACGTACTACAACACGTACATGTTTCATGTGTTTCGTCATTTTTCAAAACATTGCCCTCACATTTGCATTTTGTTTGTCGCTCACTCCCGTGGTGTTCTTTCTATTACAGGTACGGCTTTGGTGAGCTGACTCAAGCAATCGCGACTTGGCTCCAAACAACGCAGCTGGAGCATCTTCTAACGAGTCCCTTCATCGGGATCACGCTGGATGAGAGCACCGATCGGCGACGTGGCAAACACATGATTGTGTTTGCCACCTTCATTCGCAATGGCGTTGTCGTCACCGAGTTCCTCGCACATCTCACAGTTGAGAAGGCAGACGCCGCATCCCTTTCAGGCCTCCTCCTTTCCCACCTCAGGGCTGTCGGCGTGGACCTCCGCCGAATATCGGGCATGAGCACAGACGGGGCGATGGTCATGGTGGGGCAGCATACAGGAGTGGTTGCACGCATCCGAATGCTCATCCCCAACCTCGTCTCGTTCCACTGCATCGCACACCGGTACGCCTGGCTCTGCAATTTTAACAGCATGTTTAAGGTAGTGTTTTTATTTACCTATATAATCTTGTGAGTGTTGTGTTGCTTGCAGAGAAGCATTGGCTGCAAAAGCTGCAGCAGAGGAGATCCCCACCTTCAACATGGTCGACGACGTCATCCGCGCCGTCGCGGAGTACCTTGGGCGTTCGGGTCCTTGGCACCAACGCTTCATGGAGCTCCAAGAGGTCTTCACATCCACGAACCTCGAGGTGCAAGGCATATACGAGGTTCGATGGCTGTCGCGGGGTGCTGCAGTGTCGCGCTTCGTCAAAGTCATGCCCGCCATTATTGTGAGGCTGTCCGAGTGGAAGGACCAAACAATGTACGAGTTGGTAACTTCGTATCGTTTCCAGCTCCTTGTGAGGTGTCTAGCGGACGTGTTGGATCTGCTGGACGTCCTCTCCAAGGTTTTCTAGCATCGAGAGGTAAGTGACGGTTCATTTGTTTTCCTGATTATTGTTTTCCTTAAGTACTGGTACTAACAACCAGTGTGATTCGTGTGTGGCAGCTCGACTACCCACTTGTGCACACGCAGATCGTGTGCACAACCTCTCTCCTGGAGAGCCGCTACATCGACTGTGGCGATGATTTCGGCGGCGGCACCAGCGAGCATCTGTATCGGTTCATCGCCAAGCACGGGCCATAAGGGTCGCCGCAGATGGTGGTGGAAGGTGCCTCGTCGGACGGCAGCATGAACCGCTTCCGTTTCGACCTTCACGAGCGCAAAAACAAGGACTACCCTGGACCCGGCCATCATGACGCCTGTGTTGCACTCTGCACCGACATGGCCGAGCTGCTTGTCAACAATCTCCAGTCAAAGCTTGGTGACCTCGACTCGCTGGCTGGAATGCGCCTCTTCATCCCGGACATGTGGCCACCGAACTGGGATCGGCAGGCTAGGCAGGCTCAGTGTTAGGAGTGGCTGTTGTCGCTCGCCACTCTGTTTCACGCCGACGACTCGCCCGAGATTCTGCCAGGTTAGTATCTGCTTGGTCATTCGGTGGACACGTTTGACACTTGCCCTCTCGTATTAAACTAATACCCTCCCCATTGTTACTTATATCACAGGCATTGACAAAAAGCGGGCGGTCAGAGAGTTGAGGACTCTTTGCCCGGTCTTGGCCAGAGCTCCAAAGATCGAGAGGAAGTTCCATTCGGGACTGGCAGCCATCCTCAAGACTCCCGATTGGCAGCAGGCATACCCCAACCTTGTCAACCTCTGGGTGGCGGTAGCAGTGTTGCCTCTCAGCACTGTTGAGTGTGAGAGAGGCTTCTCTCGACAGAACCTCATCAAAACGTGGCAAAGAGGCGGTATCAAGGACTGCAGGCTAAGTGATTTGTTGTGCATGTCATTACTAGACTACGAGCTAGATTTGCCAGGAGTAGTTAAAGTGTGGCGCAGCTACAAGAAGCGCCGTCCAGTCACAGCACCTGCTGCAAGACATAGGGACCCTCCAAGAGCTGGCAAGGAGCATGTAGAGGAGGAGCCAGTAGCTGATCGTGCCCCTGTAGAACGTTATCAGTCAGACTCTGATTCAGATATGTGAATGTGAGGGAATGTTTATAACAGAGGGTTTTACATTCCTGCATGATCAGTCAGAAATTTCAAGATAACGCTGTTCGTTTAGCCTTGGAAAGTTGTGTGTCTCTGAATCTCCAGCCTAAAATTTTGAAGCAACACTGACAGACAGAGTACTAGGAGGGATGCACGCTGTGCCGTCAACGTGCCTCAAAACGAATCTAGGGGCCTGGCCTACAGTCTTATCCTGAGTTTTCAGTACGCAAAATAACCGTTATACTGAAATTACAGGACAATTATTCCTGTTACTATGCTGTTTTTCCAGGACTAGCACACAACACCTATCCTGAATTCAGGAGAATCAATATAAATTATCCTGATAACTGAGGCCCTATGATTCAGATCTTGATTTGTGTTTCAAGCTACTGGTGTTCATCAAACATGCATCCAGCAAACTCTAGTCAGGTTTCTCTCTTGTAACAATGTTTTTCCAAAACATTTTTTTGTACTGTGGTTGGCCAAAGGGTCTATGATTGGCAGATGCTGCTTTTTAAAGCCAGCAGGCAAAACAGTGACCCCCATCCCAACTTGAACGAGGTCTTGAGACAGAAGCTTGTTGAAGCTAAGCGATAATGACACAAGTCTGTCAAAACATTGCTTGACTTGCCTCCCTCTGTCTCCACTGGATACCTGCTTTGCGTCATTGTGACAGTTTGACTTCATGAATGCTATTTGGGCACATCAAACTACACCTGTGTAGAGCACTCTCACGCACGCTTGCACTCATACCGTAACACGATATGACAACGTAGTAAGGAGGCTCAACCGTTGCATGAAGATTCTATTTCACAAAAACTCCATCATTCGGGCATGTCACTCTAGTTTTTTCCTGCGTCTTAGAGTTTGACCACCTCGTCCATCTACCCCTCTCTCATCTCCACTTTCACCACTACCTCTCACGCCTAACCTTTTTCGCCGAACACCATCAACCCTCCCAGGTGCTAACACTTCCATTATGTTATTAACCATCCCTCTATTATACACATTCTCTACAGGAACACTAGCAGGATCAACCCAAATTCTTTGAATACGCTCGCCTCCTCCTCCTGCTCCGCCAAAAACCATTGACCACAAACCAGAGAACCACCCGGCACCGTACTGCCGCACTCGCAACCTCGAAAAATCAATTCCGATTGCCTGCTGCTTCGTTTTGGCTCCCATTCCTTCCCTTCCTCGTTTTGTCGGCTTCTCTCCTTTGCTCGACACACGCGGCACTGCTGCTGCTGGTGCTGCTTCTGTTGGTAGTGGTGGTGTTGCTGCGGTTTCTGTAGCTGCTGAGACCGCTGTTGCTTCGGCTGTCCCTGCTTCTCCATCATGTCTTGCCTTCACACCAGTATTGCTCGCCTTCCTTTCCCGCTCTGTCTCACTCCTCTCAACTTCCTTCACTACCATCTCCTCCCCCGCTTCCTTCTCCCCCTCTTCCCTCTTCTCACCCTCTTCCCTCTTCTCCCCCTCAGTCTTCCTCCCTACTGTCCCTTCCATCCTCTCTTCTTCGTGTTTCATCACCCTCGTTGTGTGTGCTGAGCTTACCCCCTTCTTCTCCCCCTCACCGTTCTCTACTCCTCCTTTCCTCCTCTCCTCCCCCTCGTCCCGTTGCTTCTGCTGCAGCATCCTGGAAGCTTCGTGGGACACCCATCGCCGGTAGTCAGCCCACTTGTATGTCTGGAGTGGTGAGAAGCGGTGAAAATAGGTGAAGGTAGCAGAAGGGATGAAACGCGGCTAAAAGAAGATGACAAGTTGGAGGTAATAGAGGGGGAAGCAGGAGAGGAGAGGAATCAAGCAGGTCACGTAGTGTTGATGAATCAAGCAGGTCAAGTTGGTTGTTGATGAACGAGAGCGAAAAGAGAGGAGGGGGAGAGTACCTTGTTGGTGATAAAGAGGTGGAGGTGGTAGAGTAGGAAGCAGGAGAGAAGAAAAAACAGGGTGAACGAAATATTTTTCAGGGAGTGTGTGAGCATTGAAGTGACAGGAAAGCAACTGCATACGCACCTCGTTGGTGGCGACGAGGTGGAGGTGGTAGAGGAGGAGGCAGGAGAGGACGAGGAGAATGACAAGAATGATTAAACAGCAGGTGGGGAAGGGGGAAGGGGGAAGGGGGTGGGTGGGAGAATCACCTCATTGGTGGTGACGTTGGTGGCGACGAGGTAGAGGTGGTAGAGGAGGAAGCAGGAGAGCACAACGAGGATGACGAGGAAGAAGAGGAGCAGCGCGCACTGGCGGTGGAAGTAGACCGTGAGCCACTGCAGGAGGATGGGCAGCCAGCCTAGGATATGGGTCCTGGAGGGATCGTGCTCTGCAGTAGGGTGGAATAAGGGAGGGGAAGGCAATCGGAGGAGAGTGAGGAAAGAGAAGGGAGGAGAGGGGCGGAACACACTGGCGGTAGAATTAGACTGTGAGGCACTGCAGCCAGTCTACCAGATGGGTACTGGAGCCAGTCTAACAGATGGGTACTGGAGGGATCTTGCTCTGAAGAGGGGAGGATGGAGGAGGGAGGTGGAGTGAGGAGGAGGGAGGGGGGCGGGAGGAGGGAGGGGAGAGAGGAGGAGTAGAAGGAAGGAAGGGAAAATGAGGATGAGAAAGGAGGGGAAAAGGTTGCAGGAGAGTGAGAAAAGAGAATGAAGAAGAGGAGCAGAGCCTGCCCCCTGTGTATATTCTAGAAGCATGAAGCGAGAACAACAAGCGGCATAACCTAAAATAACTAGGGTGGCAGCAATAAATCAGTTGCATTTTTTTCTTCATTTTTTTACAGCTGCGCTTGTTCAATGCGCCTCAAAACGTGAACAGCATGGCATGGCCTGGTGTACATATGATGGTACCGCATGGGCAGGCATACTGGACGGCACGGCATGGCCTGGCGTACCTATGATGGCAGCGATGACCTTGCTGCGAGTGATTTCACCAGCCAGGATAGAGCACACGCCAAACACACCATACGCCAGAAAGCAGATGTTTCTGAGATGAGGAATGTGTGACGTGGAGAGGAGGCGGGAGAGGGGGAAGACAATAAGGGAAGTTGGGTTAAGGCCATGTTAGTTCAGCAAATAGAGCACACACCATACCCCAGAAAGCATATGTTGCAGGGAGGAGCGTGGAGACGTGGAGGGGAGGGGAGAGAGTGGAGGTTGGTGGGGGGGAGGGGTTGGTTGGTTAAGGGAACGTCAAATGAGTCAGGATAGAGCACACGCCAAACACACTGTACTGTACACCAGAAAGCAAATGCTTTGGGGAAGAGGAAAGAGAGGGAGGAAGGGGATGAGGTGAAAAGGAAGGTGAGTTCTTATAAGATGACTCAAAAGCTGAGCGCACATGAGAGACCCCCATCCCATCGTTCCTCCCCACTCCCGTCCTCACTCCCCTTCCCACTCCCCTCCCCGCTCTCCTCCCCGCTCCCCCCTCCCAACCCCACACTCACGCAAAGAGGAAGAGCAGGAAGAAGCGAAGGTTGCTTTCCCCAACGCAGTTGTTCTGATAGCAAATAAGAGAGAAGGGGGGGAGGGATTAGGGGCGGGGGGGTCCAGGTGCCACAATGAAACGATTTTTCCCAATGGGAGAAGATAAGGAATGCCATCCAGGAAGGCAGTTGTTACCTGATGCAGTCATCCTGATGCGCAGGTGACAACGAATGCGAGAGAGAGAGAGAGAGAGAGAGAAACAGTACCACTCACCACACAGGAGCACCACTCAGCACACAGCATGAACCACCACCCAAAAGCACCACTCAGCACCCCGCAGCACCGCTCACCACCCATGCGCAGTGGTGATCAAATCTGGAGATGCAACGGTTGCACACCCGGCAGTGCTTGGCTCGTGCTGGCCTGAGCGGGGAAGACGGGGAAAAGGGAGGAAGTGAGGGGATTGGTTCGTGCTGGCGAGAGAGGGGAAGACGGGGGGGAAGGAAAAAAGGCTTGACTTCCCTTCCTTCGATTTGCTCTCTTTTTGCCATTATTTTCTTTAGCAGTCTAGACTAACATTCATTAGTGCGCCAGTTACGTTCCACATGCCTGGGTATCTTGCAAGGGACTTTTGAGTCGACTCAAAAGCCAGCTCAGTTACCTTCCACACACCTGGGTATCTTGCAGGAGGAGCAGATGACTTTTGAGAATTCTCAAAATTCTCAAAAGAGAATTTTAGAAAATCAGTTACCTTCCACATACCTGGGTATCTTGCAGGAGGAGCAGATGCGTTTGGTGTAGATGACTCCATCATATGGAAACACTGCCTGGGTCTGCTGCACTGTAGCGGGTGTGACTGTACCGGGGTCGGATATACTCGCTATAAGGAAGGTTGTGAGCACTGCAATGAGGGATGCAGGTGCCGTGTACCTGAGAAGGTGGAGAGGGGGGAAACGAGGGAGCGCGGTGGTGCAGAGGGGAGGGGAATGATGAAGAGGAGAGCAGGGGAGGGGTTTGAGAACTGGGGGTTGTGGGAGCTGCAACGAGGGATGCAGCAGGTGCAGCAGGTACATGAGAGGTGGAGAGGCGGGTGGGGAGAGAGGGTTGCAGGTGGAAGGTGGTGTCAGAAGGGATGCACGATGCAATTGATGTGTACCTGAGGGTTTTAGGTTAAGGGAGGGAGGAGGTGGGAGGAGGTGGGAGGAGGTGGGAGGAGGTGGGTGGCAAGAGGAAAGTGGAGGGGTGCACGATGCAGGAGGCGTGTACCTGTGGATGATGGAGAGGTAGAGTCCGGGGATGAAGCTTTTGAGAATTCTCAAAATAACACCAATGCAGGTGGAGGGATGCACGATGCAGGAGAAGAGAGAGGAGTACCTGTGGACGGCGGAGAGGTAGGGTCCGGGGATGAAATCCATGCAGTAGATGTGGAAGGCGTAGTAGCCTCCGATCACCAGCACAAGGTAGATGAGCTGTGGTGGGGCAAGGGAACGGCACAGAGTGGGAGCGCGAGAGAGAGTGAGATTGTGGAACCGTGGGATCCGTGCAGTAGACGTGAAAGGCGTAGTAGCCTCTTATCTCCAGGATGAGGTAGATGATCTGTGGAAGGGCAAGGAGAGGATGCCAAGTAGGAGAGAGAGGGGAAAGGGAGGGAGAGAGAGGGGAAAGGGAGGGAGAGAGAGAGAGAGAGAGAGAGAGAGAGAGAGAGAGAGAGAGAGAGAGAGAGAGAGAGAGAATCTGCAGTGGAATTGGAAGGAGCAGTAGAGTCCGATCACCAGGATAAGATAGAGAATCTGCAGTGGAACAGTGGGACGTGTGCAAAAAGACAAAACAGGTTCTTTTAATCCGCTGGGGTACTTTCAGTTGACAACCATGCATGAAATAATCAGATCCACACGAACTGCCATTCTGATTCTTGGCCAAGGCACCAGGACTAGGAGCTCTGGCAAAATACGAACCTGGAAAAGAGGGTTTCGCTGCTCGCAGCAGAATTGGAAGATGACGTCTCCGGCTCGTTCGCCTCTTTCGCCAAAGAAGAAACCGAGAAGGTAACTGTACGGAGAGATGACACGGGGTAGAGCGGATGTTGTGCAGCTGTAACGCGACGACAACGTTACACATGCAGGGTTCTTCTATTTTGACGATAATAATCCAACTTGAATGGTCAGCAAGGGGTGATACACGAGGAGAATGAACCTACAATGGAATTTCGAAGATCCCTGACGTGATCCAGTAATGCGCGGAGCTTATAACGGTGCCATCGAACGAGGTCGATTCCCCAAACAGCAGGACAAATAGCACGAAACCCAGCAAAGCCACGTAAGCGAACAGCAACAGCAATGTCGAATCCATGCCGCCAGCTGGGGTTTCGTGAAGCAAATAAGCGTGTCTAAAGCGGAACCATTCACAATCAGTCAAGGAGATCAGGCCGGCAGGCAGTCAACATCGATGTCCTAACGCTCCCTGCTAGTTTGGGACGACTGAAACCCCTTCTATGGAATATCAGGCAGAAAGAGAGCTGTCTTTCGTGATCACACAAGAATTTGTTGCAAGGTTGAGATAAGTGACGGAGAAGTTACTGAGAGTGGAGGCTGTGGATCCGCTGACAGGTTTACAACTGAGATCCAACTCTAACAGAGGTAATCCTGTAGATTCGCTCAACAGATGGTTCTAAGTAAGCCTGAGACAGAGTACGCGTGCATTCTAAGAGGGATAACTATTTCAGCAACTAGCAAATTTGGAAAAGACTTAGTTCTTGCGAATTGGATTGGTGTCAGAGTGCTCTGACTGCTGACGGACATACTGTATTGGCTGGAGAAGGTGAAAGCTTTCATCAAGGGAGTAGGTTACAGTATCACACTTTAGTGAGGATTACAGGTGAGAGGTGCATGGGCAGTTTGACTTGGGCATGAAATTGGATGCTGCTCGTTCATTGGCTCCACGGCTAGCTTTTGCGAACTGGAAGAACATGAAGCAACCAGTTATGACACTCGATAATTTCGCAAGCGCCAATCGCAACAAACCCAAACGGATGGTGCAGTATGACGTCCTCAAGGGGGAACGACTCGCCTATCTGGTACGTTCGGTTTTTGCAAGGTTGCAGGAGATGCCTCTCCGATGGACACTCCGTCCGATGTGCTGCTGAGTCATCGCGTGTCGTCTCAACTCTTCTTCAGAACCCCTCGAGAACATCTCAATCGACACAGCAGCAACTGATAGGTTGTACCGTACGAGATCAGCGGTTCATGTGTGAATGGATGCCGTGTCGATGCCGCTTTCTTTGCCAATAACACAGCTGCTTGTCCTAGTGCTTACTTTTTCACAGATTTCCCCTGCTTGAACTATTATGAATCGTTTGAAAGCGCAGTCAAACGTACTAAACCACTATCAAACTATCGTCTCGAGGTATTTGCTTAGTTAACAAGATTTCCAAGTGCCTTGCACTTCCCCCAGCTTTTGCAGCTAGTCATAACCGTCCTTATTCAGCCTTAGTTAGCATAGCACTCTTGATATCCCAGCTTTTGCAGTTAGTCATAGCCGTCCTTATCCCTCCTCATTTTGGAAGAGAGAACCAGCGAGAACGCACTTCGTTGGTGAGAACTACACATTGTGGTTTCTTTCCAAATATTAGCTGGACCAGCGAATACTTGAGACCGTTCATCTCGTAGCCTTGTCCTTGTAATAGGGACGGAATAGCACGACTATATTACGCCTCTGCGATTTTGGCAAAGCAGTAACTAAGCTACTACGAAGCTGCCTGTACAGAATTTAACAGTTTATTTCCTCTTTGAGACTCTTTTCGCTTTCCTTTTCTTTATGAGACTCTTTTTAAAGCCTGGCTTCACGATTTTGTAGAGAATACTAGCAACTCATTTCTGGAATTCCGCCGCTATGCTGCCTCGTTGGGCGACCCGCCGGTTGGCTCGGTTCATTTTGGGTCGCCTGCTGGGTCGGTTCCTGGAGACCGATCTGAGCCACGAGCAGATCGAGGTTCATCTGGGGTCGGCGTCAGTCCACCTCTCCGGTCTCCGCCTGAACACGGAATATCTCAACTCCTTGGTGCGTCTTCCAGACGAAGTTATCCTGATTAAATACCACTTTGCTGCGTCTCAATATGATTGTTACCCACGCCTCAAGTTCCTGAAAGAGTTTCCGCACACCCAAACGCTGCTTCTTCGCACCTCTCATAAGGTATTACGAGGTATCATGACCCGTCATGAACCCCAATTCCGTGCCAACCTCTACGGCAGCATATATCGGTCTCGAGGTTTGCTTATGAATGCTCGCTTCTCTCTTCCACCTCCCTCACTCGTTTTGTTTGGGCAGCTTGAGAGCAACGGGAACGGGGCGGCAGCAGCCAACGGAGTAGCTTCAACTGCAGCAGCAGCAGCAGCAAGATCGGGCGTTCCTGGAAGTTTCCAGAACAAGCCCAACCAGGCCCTTCCAACCGTCCGATTCGTTTCAGGCCACGTGGAAAAGCTCTCCGCGTCGCTCCCTATAGTCACACTCTCGTCATTGGACCAGCCGTGTACAGTCAACCTAGATGGGCTCACCCTGGTAGCGGTGGTGTCTCCTCCTGGCCAATCAGGAGCGAGAGAAGGCAGGGAAGGAGGGAAGTTGGGGAAAGGGGTTAGGGAGGAAGGCGTGGGGGAGAGTGGAGTCAGTCTGAGAAATAGTGGAGGTGAGAGAGGAGGAACTAACAAGGGGAGTGAGACGGAAGAGGATGAGCAGGGAGAGGAGGAGGAGGAGGAAGAGGAGGAAGACGGGGAAGAGGAGGAAGAGGAGGAAGAAGAGGAGAGAGAGGAGGGTATGGAGGGGATGACAAATGGGGGTTGGGGGAGCTTTCCGGGCTTCCAAGGGGGGATACAGCTCGTAGCAGGGCTGGTAGAGAAGGTGTTGCAACGGTTACAAGTGTCTGTAACACATGTACAGGTTCACATCGTGCTTGACAACGGAACAACCCAGTTTGACCCAGCAGGAGCAGGGGCTTGTAATGGAGGTGACTGTGACGGGATTAGGTCTGGGGTAGGCGATTGGAGTGACTGCAAGGGAGTTGTGTTTTGCCTGGATGAATTAGCATATGGCCCGGCAGCACAAGAAGAGCTAGGGCTTGGTTCGGCAGGTCCAGACGTTTGTAATGAGGTGCAGGTGGGGAGAGAAGGGCAGGGAGGAGAGCGGAGAAGTGGGAACGGGTATGGGGGAGGAAAGAACAGGAGAAGCGATTCAGGTGGTTGGAGGAGGAGAGGGGAGGAGGAGAGAGGCGCAGCAGGTGTGGGGCGTGTAGGAGGTGTGGTGTGGAGTGGTGCTGGTGCCGATGGTGGTTCGAAGGGAGGGGTGGCGCATATGGTGCTGGGAGGTGGGCCTAAGGAGGTGCGGTTTAGTGGGGTAAGAATGGGTCTAGTGGGGTGTTGGGAGTGTGGGGGTGAAGGGAGTGAGAGGAGGGGTGCATGGAAGGGCGAGGATGAGGATGGAGCAAGGGAGGAGGATTTCAGGAATGATGTTTTTACTGAAGCAGCTTCTAGCATGTACGCAAGTGTACTGGACGGGCAGCAATCTGTTTTCGTGGATGCTACTGAAGAAGCCAGTAACGAGGATTTATACTCCTCAACGTTCCAGTCTGTTATGGGGTCTGCTCTTAACGAGGATAATTCAGCCATGTGCCAGCCAACGGGTACAGGGTTTATCAGAGAGTCAGTCCCAGGAGTGGAGAGGGTTGTGATTGGCGGACCTGCAGCAGCCTCACAGCCAAGGCATCTCAGAGAGCGAGAGAGTAGAAGGCATGGGGAAGAGGAGACTCAGGAGAGATTCAGCGGGAGGGGGTTTGCAAGAGAAGGGAGGAGCGAGGCGGTGTCAGCGTATGATGCACCTGGCAGCAGAGAGAGTGAGAGTGAGGGAGAGAGTGGGCGCAAGAGTGAGAGTGAGTGTGAGAGTGAGTGTTTCTTGCTGGGAGGAGTGAGTGGGCGAGTGAGGATGACCCTCGGACTTCCCGTGCCCACAAGGCGAGACCCAAGAAGACAGAGCATGGAGAGCTCGAGCATGGAGAGCGAGGGCTTGGGATGGAGCCGGGACAGGGAGGGAGCTCCCCAGAATGGAAGGGATTTGGGAATAAGAAGGGATGGAATGAGACAGGGGGAAGGGCCTGTGGTGGCTGTGGCTGTGCAGCTGTCGCCTGTGGTGATTCAAGCGGATGTGACTCTAGTGAAGGGCGTGCTTGAGGTGCTGGGGAGGCTTAGAGGGGAGGAAGGAGGGGAGGAGGGACGGGAGGAAGAGGAAGAAAGGGAAGAAGGAGAAGAGGAAAGGGTTGCGAGGGAGGATGGGAGTGGTGAGGGTCTTGCAGTCAGAGGAGTGAGGAGTGTGAGGGGAGACGAGGGGGATGAGGGGGAAGAGGCAGCAGCATCATCATCAGCAAGATCGTCAGCAGCGGTAGCAGCAGCACGAACAGCAGCAATACAGACACCATCAGCAGCAGCAGCAGCAGCAATAATATCACAAGCATTGGCAACTGCACCACCCCAAAAAGCAGCAGCAGTGTGGGCTGATAATTACGTGGAGGACTGGTTGGGGCAAAGGCTGGTGGAGAAGAGGCGGGTCAAGGAGGAGAGGCGACGAGCAAATCAGCGAGCAGAGGAGGAGGCAGCTGACATGGAGGCCAGGTGGGTTCCGTTGAAATCTCCTGAAACTTCGGTGCAGCCAAATGCAAGAGGGCTGCTGTGGGTGGGAGGGCTCGTGCGAGTTCGCGTTCCGGGCACCGCACCACTTTTTGCGAGTTATTAGACCCATTCTGCAAGTTTGGTGCAGCCAAATGCAAGAGGGCTGCTATGCTGTGGGAGGGCTCGTGCGCGTTCTGGGCTCCACATTTTTGCCAGTCATTGACCCATCCCCTTTTCCATCCCTTCCCGTTTGCCCATCCCCTTCCCTTTCCCCCTCCCCATCCCCTTCGCAGCAAGAGTGAGTTCTTCGACTGCCTCGATTCTGCCATGTTCCTCTCCATTCCCGTCCCCCATCCCCATTCCCCATCCTCTTCCCGTTGTCCCCTCCCCCATCTCTTTCCCCATCCTCTTCCCCATCCCCTTCCCAGCATGAGTGAGTTCTTCGACTGCCTCGATTCTGCCATGTTCCTCTCCTCCTCCCTCACCTCCTCCCTCTCTGCCTCACTGCATTCCTCTACCAACCTTTCCTTCTGATCCCCGTCCCCCTTCCTTTATTACCAGCATGACTGAGTTCTTCGACTGCCTCGATTCTGCCATCTTCCTCTCCTCCTCCCTTTCCCCCTCGCTCCATTCCTCCACAAATTCATCTGCACCAACCTCATCTCTCCCCGCCTCTCCTCCTTCTCATTCCCCTGCCGCTGCCGCTGCCGCCGCTGCTGCTGCTGCTGCTGCTGCTGCCACTGCCGCTGCTGCTGCCGCTGCCGCTGCAGCTGCCGCCACCACCGCCACCACTGCCGCTGCACCTACCAATCTTCTCGATTCCTTCTTCCCACGTGCTGAGCTTGCTGGTGCTGCAGAAAGTCCCGATTTCCACCCTTCGTCCCCCTCCTCCTCATCCGCACCTTCCTCCCTCTGGTCCTGGGCACATGCAGCAGTCTCGGCAGTCTCTGCCACGTCAGCTCTGGCAGCTGGACTTCCACCTGCTGCTGCTGCATCCTCCGCTGTCTCTGCATCCCGAGCACTGGCAGGTAAGTTAACGATTCTGTGCGATTAGTGCTGCTGCTGCTGCATCCTCAGCTGTCTCTGCCACCTCTGCATTGGCAGCTGGCATGCTCCCCGCTGCTGATCATGCCACGGCTGTCTCTGCATCACTAGCACTATCACTAGCACTATCACTAGCACTATCACTAGCACTATCACTAGCACTATCACTAGCACTATCACTAGCACTATCACTAGCACAATCACTAGCACTATCACTAGCACTATCACTAGCACTGACGTTGCCTGTCCCATGTTCGCCTGTACTCCCCTCTTTCCCCACCTAGTAATAGCCGTCCAAAACCTCCACTTTCTTTTGCGTCAGCATGCTTTCGACGGTTTTAGAGGCTCTTAAAAGTTGAATTCAGTGCCCTCTTTTTTTTTGTTGTGGCCCTCTTTGCACCACCATGGTTTGTGCTCTCAGGCTCTATTCCCTTCTTATAGAGTGCGTTCCTATGGTTCTTACAATCTATTCCACATTCCTTTGTGTCCCCCCCCCCTCCCTAGCTGAGCCTTCTCAGCCCCTACTCTCTCTTTCCTTCAGTATCCCCTGCATAACCATCTCCCTGACACACTCACCCAAGGGAAGCAGTGATGGTGAAACTGCTGCTTTTCCTTCTTCTTCTAGAATCTGTGTTGGTGGGGGTGGAAGATCTGGGGCGCTGATTTTGACATTGGAGGGGCTACAAGCATCACAGGAGGTGAGAGGAGAGTGCTCGCTCGATGACTATTTTTTTTTTTTTTTTTTTTGCTTTTACAAGAACGTGCTCCTTCTTTCCCACGTTTCCTTTTGAAGGTCCCCTTTCATGTCCCCTCCCCCTCCTCTTCACAGCTCCCTTCTCAGCATATCTCCCTCTTTCTTCCAGCTCCTCATTCCTCCCTCCTCTTCATTCCTCCCTCCTCTTCATCCCTCCCTCCTCTTCATCCCTCCAGGTCTCTGCAGGCGAATCTCATCACCACAAAGAGCTGTTCATTAGCAGCAGCACGCTTTCCTTCCATCCCTCATGTTCGGCTGGAACCCATTCACGCCCATTCGCCTCATCAGTTGCAGCACCACCAGCATCAGTCACCTCAGAAGCAGGGGCAGCAGCAGCTACAGCCAGTGCTGCTGCTGCTGCCAGTGCAGCCACCACTAGGGGGCGTTGCTGCAGCGGCTGCTGTAAGATGTACAGGAATAGAGTAGAGCGGGGAGAAGTGTGCTGGTGCAAGCACCAACTGTACAGAGATCATGCGGACTGTGGGGGCTCAGGCAGCTATACTGGAACAGGCGAGAGCCAGCTGTACAGGGATCACATGGAATGTGGGGGAGTAAGCTCATGCGAGTGGCAGCTGTACAGAAATCACGCTCAGTGGGAGCATGTGACAAAGGTCCTGCCGCCGCTTTCTCTCCCCGCTCCCTCCCTCTCCTCCTCCTCCTCCACTTCTGCCCGTCAGTTCGCTTCTGCAGCCACACTCTGCGGCCACGCCCATGTGTGTGGGATTTTTGAGCGTTCTCGGAAGCACCCTCACATGTGTTCTATCTGCAGTCCTGTGAAGCTCTTTCAGATTTCCTCATTAGCCGATTCGCCTGCACCGTCAGCTGCTGTAGCATCAGATGCAAGGGCAAATGGGCGGAAAGGCAAGACCATTGACGCAGCAATAGCCGGCAGCAGCAGCAGCAGCAGCAGCAGTAACGGTAGAGGGGACAGCAGGAGGGGCAGCAGCAACATTAGGAGCAGCCACAGCAACAGCAGCAGCAGTGTGCAGCCAGCAGTTCGAGTGGTGGCCTCCCAAAGCTGCAAGCACGAGCATGCACATGAACATGCATGCGAGCATGCACAGAGGGATGTGAACGTGCACTCGTGCATGCATGGAAATGTGAGGCATCTGGATGTGAGCGTGCCGGGATGTGTGCATGTAGATGTGAGTGTGCAGCCGTGTGTGGTGTGGGTGGAGCCACACTCCCTCGCCTTCATATCAAGCTTGATTGCTGAGCTGGGCGACGTGCACTGTAACGGGGCTGACAATACAGAGGATGCCGGAGCGGTGGAAAGAAAGCAGCGAGACCAGCATCAGGAGTGGCAGCAGCAGCAAGAGTGGCAGCAGCCGCAGCACCGAGAGGGGAAGCAGCAGCAGCAGCACCTGCTATTCCAGCACCAAAAAGACTACTCGTGGCAGCAGCAGGAATCAAACCGAGAAGCGAATGCTGATCCACTTTTTAGAACCTCAAAGAGAAACTCAAAGAGAAACTCTGCTGCTGACGATGCTTCTTCTCCTGACGATGCTTCTTCCTCTGCCCGCATCAGCAGTATCTCTCTCTGCTTTGACATCACCTGCCTTCGCCTCGTCCTCACTGCTTCTCCCTCCCAGCTACAGCCGTCTCAGGCACAACAGGTGCAGCATTCACGTGGGCTACAGCCATGGGTACTACAGCCGGGGCCGCTACAGCCGGGGCCGCTACAGGCTGCAGATGCACAGGAATCACTTGCATGTGTTGGCAGTGATCACGGGCTTGTCGCTGACTGCTATGGCTTCCACCTATCATCATCATCGCAATTATCGCCATCGTCAGCAGAAGAAGCAACAGCACCACCACCGCCACCGCCATCATCATCGTCAGCAGCAGAAGCAGCAGCAGCAGAAGCAGTAGCAGCAGCAGCAGCAGCAGCAGCAGCAGCACCATCTGCCTACCTGGCGTCTTCTCTGGTCAGCTGCTCATTGCGGCATGTGACTGTGCATTCCCTGACGGTTATTCCACCACAAGATTGCAATTATCCAGGCAACGATAACAGCAGTAGGCATACCAGCAGAAGCAGCAGCAGCAGGAAAGGAAGCAAACACGTGGAAAGAGATTGCCAAGAAAGGGAGTGCCTGTACCGTGTCCAGTTACAGTCTCTTCTCTCTGTCTCTGCTTCTTCATCTGTCTGTGCCGCTGCTTCCTCTTCTGTCACTGTTTCTGAATCCGGATGTCAGCAGCATTTAAGAAGCAGCACCAGGGGAAGTGAGGAGCAAGGGGTAACAGGTTACAACAGGAGGGTGTCTGAGGCATTGGGTCAGCTCCATTTTGAACCAACGCAGCAACGCCACCACCACCATAATCACCAGAACCACAACAACCACTACCACCAAAACCAGCACCATAACCACCACCACTATAATCACCATCATAAACAAAACCACCATCAGCACGAGCAGGAGCAGCAGTACCATCAGCACGAGCCTGGTGCGGCAGTTACGGTAATCATAAAAAAGAGAAGCAGCAGCAGCAGCAGCCCTTTTGGGCCATCCAGGATTAATGCAGCTCACAAGCTTTGGCAGTATGTGCAGAAAAGACAAGCGGGACGAGGTGAGGGCGGGCGGGGAGTGACAGTGGGCGGCAACGGGGAGTTTGTGACTGCAGCTGCTGTGACTGATAGAGAGAGGGAGGGGGAGGAGGAGCAGGAGAGAATAGTAGTGGGAGCAGTGAGAGAGAGCGCTGGTGCTGATGTGGCGGTCAGGGTGGGTGACGTGGCGCTGGCGATGGACCCTGCTGACGTGGCAATGGTCCACGATACGCTGACGTGGATCCAGAAGGCTGTGGATCCTAGTTCTCCGACTTTGAAAGGAGAGAGGAGAGGGACGACTTTTGAGGCGCCTCAAGGGATGACGAGAGTGGAGGCACAACCATCACCACCATCACCGCCAGTCCATCAACCAGTGTTTTTTGACCTGGACGTGGGCCTCTTCCAAGCTGAGCTCTTGTTTGAGCCTCGACCGGTCTTTGAAGCAGACGCTGTGGTTCCTCCTACAGGCATGCTTCAGCAGCAGCAGTGGCAGCAGCAGCAACAACAGGAGGACACAGCTGTACATACTTCTTCCTCCTATTCATTTCCATTCCCTTCTGTTCCTGCCGCTACCACTGCTGCTGCTGCCGCTCCTGCTGCCGCTCCTGCTCCTGCTCCTGCTCCTGCTCCTGCTGCTCCCACTGCTACTGCTGCTGCTTCACCCCGAATCCTTGGCCCTTACTCCAAGCCTGTATGGGGCCAAGGCTGGTCCTCCCTGCGCCTGTGCCTCCAGCGAATCAAATTGTGCCACGTCAGCAGCTTGGCTGGTAACCCTAGCGCACGGTTCCTGATGCTGCGGCACGGGGAAGCGACGGTCTGGGCGGCGTGCAGTGATTGGTGGGGGTATGGGGAGCAGCAGCATGGTCATAAGCTGTCGATAGAAGCTTGCGACTCTGTACAAGCCCCTGATTCGATACAAGCTTCCTCAGCACCTAATTTGGCAGCAAACAAGCTCACTAGCAGCCCTTTTACTAGGTTAAGGCGAGAGCAGGAGTTTCCAGTGCTGTCCACGTGGCAGGACGCCATTGGTCGGGGCAGCGGAGCTCCAGGGGGAAACCCGCTGGAGAGGGGAGAGGCAGGGGTGTGCCTGCTGCTGGTGCAGTGGCCAGGAAGGTGCCAGGAAGCTTCAGTCACGGCTGGAAGTTTGTCAGGTGGGGGGAAGAAAAGGGGGGTGGAGAGAGGAAAGGAGAGAGTGAGCCCGGGAGGGGAGGGTGGAGGTAAGGGGGTGAGGGGAAGTGAGGAGGGCAGAGAGAGTGAGGGATTGGTGTATGTGTGTGTGAGGGGATTGACAGCAGAGTTGCCAGGTGGCAGGTGGGACTTTTTTCTTCCTCTCTCTACCCTGCTTCCTCCACAACAAAGGCCAGCTGTTGTTGCTGCCTCTGCTGCTTCTACTGCTGCTGGTTCCGCTGCTGCAGGGGAAAACGGGCGCTGTGAGGCGCCTCTTAGAGTAAGGGCTGTGGGTGTTGGTGGGAGTGACAAACTGGTATCCGCTGTGTCAGGTGCTGTTGGTGGTTGTGATCGTGGTAGCGAGCAAGGGGATCTGTGGACTTTTGAGGCGACTCAAAAGTCAGATCTGTGGATCAACCCGGCGCGGCAGCAGAAGCAGCAGCAGCGGCGGGTGCAGCAGTTTGCGGGCCAGGGAGGGCCCTTGCAGGTAAGGGCAGGAGGGAGGGAACAGGATTCCCAGCGAGGCACAAGCAGAAGCAGAGACAAAAGCAGGCAGAGAGCTCATGAGCATTCAGCACAGATGGAACCTTCACCAGTCGATCCTCCTGGGGCAGCATCAGCAGCAGCGGCGGCAGGGGTGCAAAGACAGGCAAGTAATGCACACGAACAGGCAGAGCCAAGTATATGTCCACCAGGATTGCGCGTGGTGGCAGATCTGATGGATGCTGGTCTGTGGTACGAGCCTCGGGGTGAGGCGTGGCCCGAGCCTAGGCAGGAGGTTTGGGCGGTGCCGGGCCAGAGGGTAGCTGCGTCGTATGCTGCGTGCCTGTTTGGTGGAGTCACAGCGATTCGGTTAGTTGCAGACGTGAATCCCACAGCACCCTCTGCTTCAGCAGCAGCAGCAGCAGCGGGAACACCAGCAGCATCAAGAGCAGCAGCACCACCACAGCCAGCCACCTGCCCTCCACCTCTCGCTCCTCCGCTCGTCCAAGCCGGTCTGCACCTGAGCGACCTGACTGTTAGCGTGCTGCCTGTGAGCCGCTGCTGCCTGCCCTTCCCTGGACAACTTTTGAGGCGCCTCAAAGGACAAAAAGTCCCTGCTACATCACCCACGGAGGGTGGGTGGCCCAGGGAGCAGCAGCGCATTCACCAGCAGCGGCATTACAAACTGGACTCACAGCAGCTCCGACCGCTCAGGAAGCAGCAGCACGTGTACAGATCTCTTTGGCTACAGGCCTACTGCAGTAATCTCTCTGCTCAAGTAAGCAGTTTTTCTCCATCTTTTTCTCCCTTTCCCCCAGATCCCCTCCTCTCTTCTTTCCCTCCCCAACCTCAATGCTCACTTGCTCTTAAACCCGATGATGTCACTCACTTGTTCGTTGATTTCCCGTCTCACTTCGGGTTTCACCTGCTGTTTCATTTCTTGTTTCACATGCTCACTGACTCTGACGAGCCAGGTCATTCTACAGTCTACACTGCACTACCTTATTATATCGTATACCTTAAAATAATATGGTTTGTTCCTTTCACCCCTTCATCCCAGATCGCCACAGCAACAAGTGTGCAAGTGGAGCTCGTCGCATCACATGCTGCTTCAAGTCCTACTGCTGCTGCTACAGCCGGTGGTGCTACAGCTGGTGGTGCTAGAACTGGTGCTACAGCCGGTGTTACAACCGGTGGTGCTACAACTGGTGCTACAGCCGGTGGTGCTATAGCCGGTGTTAAAACCGGTGGTGCTACAACTGCTGCTACAGCCGGTGCTGCTACAGCCGGTGCTGCTACAACCGGTGTTACAACCGGTGGTGCTACAACTGGTGCTACAGCCGGTGGTGCAAGAGCCGGTGTTAAAGCCGGTGGTGCTACAACTGCTGCTACAGCCGGTGCTACTACAGCTGGTGCTGCTACAGCCAGTGCTGCTACAACCGGTGTTACAACCGGTGGTGCTACAACTGGTGTTACAACCGGTGGTGCTACAACTGGTGTTACAACCGGTGGTGCTACAACTGGTGTTACAACCGGTGGTGCTACAACTGGTGTTACAACCGGTGGTGCTACAACTGGTGTTACAACCGGTCGTGCTACAACTGGTGTTACAACCGGTGGTGCTACAGCTGGTGCTACAATCGGTGCTGCTGGTGCTACAATCGGTGCTGCTGGTGCTACAATCGGTGCTGCTGGTGCTACAATCGGTGCTGCTGGTGCTACAATCGGTGCTGCTGGTGCTACAACCGGTGCTGCTGGTGCTACAATCGGTGCTGCTGGTGCTACAATCGGTGCTGCTGGTGCTACAATCGGTGCTGCTGGTGCTACAATCGGTGCTGCTGGTGTTACAATCGGTGCTGCTGGTGCTACAATCGGTGCTGCTGGTGCTACAATCGGTACTGCTGGTGCTACAATCGGTGCTGCTGGTGCTACAATCGGTGCTGCTGGTGCAGGGAGGGGCTCTGCGTCCTCCTCAGCTCGGTCCACGTCACCTCCCGACCTGGAAATCATCTGCTGCAACGCCCAATTGCAGGTGGACACGTGTCAGGACAGCATGCAGGTGCTGGGGCGGCTGGGGCAGCAGGTGCAGCTCGTGTTTCCCCCTGATGCTCCCCTTGTTCCCCCTGGGGGGGTCACAAGCAGGGTGTACGGGGGAGGGGAGGACGTAGAGGGGCAGACAGGGCAGGGAGGGCAGGGAGGACAGCAGGTGCAGCTCGTGTTTCCCCCTGATACGCCTGTCGTTCCGCCTGGGGGTGTCACAGGCAGAATGTGTGGGGGAGGAGGGGTTGTAGAGGGGCAGACGGGGCAGGGAGGGCAGGGAGGGCAGGGAGGGCAGCAGGTGCAGCTCGTGTTTCCCCCTGATGCGCCTGTTGTTCCCCCTGGGGGGGTGACCAGTAGGGTGTATGGGGGAGGTGGGGTTGCAGGGGGGCATGTAGGGCAGAGAGGGGAGGGAAGGGAGGGAGGGGAGGGAGGGCAGGGAGGGGAGAGAGGAGAGGGAGGGCAGAAAAAAGGTGCTGATGCTGCGGCTGATGCTGCTGCTGCTCCTCCTGCCGCTGCTGCTTCTGCTGCCACTGCTGCTGCCGCTGCTGCTGCTGCTGTTGAGGGAAGGGATGCGATCGGTAGTAACGGGTGGAAGATTGGCATTGATGCTGGGCTGAGGCTTATTGAGGAGGAGGCAGGGGGGTGGGTGGATGTGATAGTACCGGAGCAATCAGGAGGAGAAATTGGAAGCGAGGTTGACTATAATGAAGGATGGACCTGGATGGAAGTGGAGAGCGGCGGGGAGAAGCATGCGGCGGGATATAGTCACATTCAGAAAGGTGAGGGATGCCCCAGCAGCAACAGATGGAGTCGTGAGGGTGCCAAGACTGGTGGCAGCAGCAACACCTCTGGGCAATTTCACGCACATCTTCACCCCCCTTATAGTCACCTCGACAGCAACAGATCGAGGCGGGAGGTTGGCAAGACTGGAAGCAGCAGCAGCAGCAGCGGCGGCGCCCACCAATCGCATCACGCCACGTGGCTTGAAGATTCCGGGCAACTGGTTCCAGACCACGTTCCCTTGGTCCCCCCCTCGTCTCTCCAAAACATTCCCTCCTGCTGCTCTTCCTCCTCCTCTCTCCCTAGTGCCACGCACAGTGCCCCCTCCTCCTCTCCCTCTCCCTCCTCTCCCTCCCATTCCTCTCCCTCCCCCTCTTCTCCTCCCCCCTCTGCTCCCTTCACCTCTCGACCCAGCCATAAGCCCTCCTCTCTCCCAGCCTCCTATCCCCCCTCTGAGGCCCGGATCCTTCTCAGAAACTGCTCGCTCGTCTGCAGATTGAGCTCTGGCCGGCATTTCTTGTCAAGTAGTGCTGCTGTTAACAGTGGTTTGTGTGTTGGCCTTTGTGCTGCCCCTGGTGCTACTGGTACTGCGGGTGCTGGTGCTGGTGCTGGTGGGGCTGAGTCAGCATGGGCAGCTGCTGAGTCAGCATCGGCTGCCGCTGAGTCAGCAGCAAGGCTCAGATTGGAGGGTCCGTGTATGGAGGTGATATTGAGAGGAGTGGACGTTCAAATAGACAAGTTTCAACCACACAGGCTGCAAGTGCCTCCTGCTGCTGGTGTTGTTGATGATAGTGCTGATGCTGCTAGTGCTGTTGATGGTATTGCCAGTGCAGCTGCTGATGCGGCTGCCACTGCAGCAGATTCTGCACCAGCCAGCAGCCACACTGCACCGACGCACACCAGCAAACGTGGGAGTGTGTACACATCACGTGTGGCAGTGACAGTGAGAGAGATAGGAGTGTGGGACCGGGGCTTGCAGCAGGGACAGCAGGGGCTAGGGCAGGGGCAGAATGGGCAGGGGCAGCAGCAGGGGGGAAGGCGGTGGGCAAGGGTGGGAGGGGCGTATGGGAGGGAGGCTGCAGATGTGCGATCCAAGGCTCTGCGGCTGCTGCTGGATGCTGTCAGGCCCAATCCAACGGTGGAGATTGACGAATTCAGGTTTGTGAGAGAATGATTCGGCGTGCCACACTCCCACGCTCCACTCTCTCCTCTCAATCGGTCCTCTCCCCTCGGTTTCTTTAATTTGGCGCTTTGCTTTCCTGACCTTCTGCTGCCCTCTCCTGTGCTTTCCTGCTTGCTCTTCTCTACAAGCTCTCAGTGGCCTTGCTAGTTGTGGGGCGCCTCAAGTGTAGTCTCCTGTGCTTTCGTCACTGTTCTTCTCTACAGGCTTTCAGTGGCCTTGCTGCCAATCCGCCTCCGCATTGACCAGAACCACATCGAATTCCTCTCACGCTTCACTCCCTCTCTGCTTTACTTCCTTAGCTCCCTCTCGTTCTTCCCTGCTCTGCAGGCTCTCAGTGGCTCTGCTGCCAATCCGCCTCCGCATTGACCAGAACCACATCGAATTCCTCTCACGCTTCACTCCCTCTCTGCTTTACTTCCTTAGCTCCCTCTCGTTCTTCCCTGCTCTGCAGGCTCTCAGTGGCTCTGCTGCCAATCCGCCTGCGCATGGACCAGAACCACATCGAATTCCTCTCAAGCTTCACTCCCTCTCTGCTTTACTTCCTTTGCTCCCTCTCGTTCTTCCCTGCTCTGCAGGCTCTCAGTGGCTCTGCTGCCAATCCGCCTGCGCATGGACTAGAACCACATCGAATTCCTCTCACGCTTCACTCCCTCTCTGCTTTACTTCCTTTGCTCCCTCTCGTTCTTCCCTGCTCTGCAGGCTCTCAGTGGCTCTGCTGCCAATCCGCCTGCGCATGGACCAGAACCACATCGAATTCCTCTCACGCTTCACTCCCTCTCTGCTTTACTTCCTTTGCTCCCTCTCGTTCTTCCCTGCTCTGCAGGCTCTCAGTGGCTCTGCTGCCAATCCGCCTGCGCATGGACCAGAACCACATCGAATTCCTCTCACGCTTCACTCCCTCTCTGCTTTACTTCCTTTGCTCCCTCTCGTTCTTCCCTGCTATGCAGGCTCTCAGTGGCTCTGCTGCCAATCCGCCTGCGCATGGACTAGAACCACATCGAATTCCTCTCACGCTTCACTCCCTCTCTGCTTTACTTCCTTTGCTCCCTCTCGTTCTTCCCTGCTCTGCAGGCTCTCAGTGGCTCTGCTGCCAATCCGCCTGCGCATGGACCAGAACCACATCGAATTCCTCTCACGCTTCACTCCCTCTCTGCTTTACTTCCTTTGCTCCCTCTCGTTCTTCCCTGCTCTGCAGGCTCTCAGTGGCTCTGCTGCCAATCCGCCTGCGCATGGACCAGAACCACATCGAATTCCTCTCACGCTTCACTCCCTCTCTGCTTTACTTCCTTTGCTCCCTCTCGTTCTTCCCTGCTCTGCAGGCTCTCAGTGGCTCTGCTGCCAATCCGCCTGCGCATGGACCAGAACCACATCGAATTCCTCTCACTCTTCACTCCCTCTCTGCTTTACTTCCTTTGCTCCCTCTCGTTCTTCCCTGCTCTGCAGGCTCTCAGTGGCTCTGCTGCCAATCCGCCTGCGCATGGACCAGAACCACATCGAATTCCTCTCACGCTTCACTCCCTCTCTGCTTTACTTCCTTTGCTCCCTCTCGTTCTTCCCTGCTCTGCAGGCTCTCAGTGGCTCTGCTGCCAATCCGCCTGCGCATGGATCAGAACCACATCGAATTCCTCTCACGCTTCACTCCCTCTCTGCTTTACTTCCTTAGCTCCCTCTCGTTCTTCCCTGCTCTGCAGGCTCTCAGTGGCTCTGCTGCCAATCCGCCTCCGCATTGACCAGAACCACATCGAATTCCTCTCACGCTTCACTCCCTCTCTGCTTTACTTCCTTAGCTCCCTCTCGTTCTTCCCTGCTCTGCAGGCTCTCAGTGGCTCTGCTGCCAATCCGCCTGCGCATGGACCAGAACCACATCGAATTCCTCTCAAGCTTCACTCCCTCTCTGCTTTACTTCCTTTGCTCCCTCTCGTTCTTCCCTGCTCTGCAGGCTCTCAGTGGCTCTGCTGCCAATCCGCCTGCGCATGGACTAGAACCACATCGAATTCCTCTCACGCTTCACTCCCTCTCTGCTTTACTTCCTTTGCTCCCTCTCGTTCTTCCCTGCTCTGCAGGCTCTCAGTGGCTCTGCTGCCAATCCGCCTGCGCATGGACCAGAACCACATCGAATTCCTCTCACGCTTCACTCCCTCTCTGCTTTACTTCCTTTGCTCCCTCTCGTTCTTCCCTGCTCTGCAGGCTCTCAGTGGCTCTGCTGCCAATCCGCCTGCGCATGGACCAGAACCACATCGAATTCCTCTCAAGCTTCACTCCCTCTCTGCTTTACTTCCTTTGCTCCCTCTCGTTCTTCCCTGCTATGCAGGCTCTCAGTGGCTCTGCTGCCAATCCGCCTGCGCATGGACTAGAACCACATCGAATTCCTCTCACGCTTCACTCCCTCTCTGCTTTACTTCCTTTGCTCCCTCTCGTTCTTCCCTGCTCTGCAGGCTCTCAGTGGCTCTGCTGCCAATCCGCCTGCGCATGGACCAGAACCACATCGAATTCCTCTCACGCTTCACTCCCTCTCTGCTTTACTTCCTTTGCTCCCTCTCGTTCTTCCCTGCTCTGCAGGCTCTCAGTGGCTCTGCTGCCAATCCGCCTGCGCATGGACCAGAACCACATCGAATTCCTCTCACGCTTCACTCCCTCTCTGCTTTACTTCCTTTGCTCCCTCTCGTTCTTCCCTGCTCTGCAGGCTCTCAGTGGCTCTGCTGCCAATCCGCCTGCGCATGGACCAGAACCACATCGAATTCCTCTCACTCTTCACTCCCTCTCTGCTTTACTTCCTTTGCTCCCTCTCGTTCTTCCCTGCTCTGCAGGCTCTCAGTGGCTCTGCTGCCAATCCGCCTGCGCATGGACCAGAACCACATCGAATTCCTCTCACGCTTCACTCCCTCTCTGCTTTACTTCCTTTGCTCCCTCTCGTTCTTCCCTGCTCTGCAGGCTCTCAGTGGCTCTGCTGCCAATCCGCCTGCGCATGGATCAGAACCACATCGAATTCCTCTCACGCTTCACTCCCTCTCTGCTTTACTTCCTTTGCTCCCTCTCGTTCTTCCCTGCTCTGCAGGCTCTCAGTGGCTCTGCTGCCAATCCGCCTGCGCATGGACCAGAACCACATCGAATTCCTCTCACGCTTCACTCCCTCTCTTCTTTACTTCCTTTGCTCCCTCTCGTTCTTCCCTGCTCTGCAGGCTCTCAGTGGCTCTGCTGCCAATCCGCCTGCGCATGGACCAGAACCACATCGAATTCCTCTCACGCTTCACTCCCTCTCTGCTTTACTTCCTTTGCTCCCTCTCGTTCTTCCCTGCTCTGCAGGCTCTCAGTGGCTCTGCTGCCAATCCGCCTGCGCATGGACCAGAACCACATCGAATTCCTCTCACGCTTCACTCCCTCTCTGCTTTACTTCCTTTGCTCCCTCTCGTTCTTCCCTGCTCTGCAGGCTCTCAGTGGCTCTGCTGCCAATCCGCCTGCGCATGGACCAGAACCACATCGAATTCCTCTCACGCTTCACTCCCTCTCTGCTTTACTTCCTTTGCTCCCTCTCGTTCTTCCCTGCTCTGCAGGCTCTCAGTGGCTCTGCTGCCAATCCGCCTGCGCATGGACCAGAACCACATCGAATTCCTCTCAAGCTTCACTCCCTCTCTGCTTTACTTCCTTTGCTCCCTCTCGTTCTTCCCTGCTATGCAGGCTCTCAGTGGCTCTGCTGCCAATCCGCCTGCGCATGGACTAGAACCACATCGAATTCCTCTCACGCTTCACTCCCTCTCTGCTTTACTTCCTTTGCTCCCTCTCGTTCTTCCCTGCTCTGCAGGCTCTCAGTGGCTCTGCTGCCAATCCGCCTGCGCATGGACCAGAACCACATCGAATTCCTCTCACGCTTCACTCCCTCTCTGCTTTACTTCCTTTGCTCCCTCTCGTTCTTCCCTGCTCTGCAGGCTCTCAGTGGCTCTGCTGCCAATCCGCCTGCGCATGGACCAGAACCACATCGAATTCCTCTCACGCTTCACTCCCTCTCTGCTTTACTTCCTTTGCTCCCTCTCGTTCTTCCCTGCTCTGCAGGCTCTCAGTGGCTCTGCTGCCAATCCGCCTGCGCATGGACCAGAACCACATCGAATTCCTCTCACGCTTCACTCCCTCTCTGCTTTACTTCCTTTGCTCCCTCTCGTTCTTCCCTGCTCTGCAGGCTCTCAGTGGCTCTGCTGCCAATCCGCCTCCGCATTGACCAGAACCACATCGAATTCCTCTCACGCTTCACTCCCTCTCTGCTTTACTTCCTTTGCTCCCTCTCGTTCTTCCCTGCTCTGCAGGCTCTCAGTGGCTCTGCTGCCAATCCGCCTGCGCATGGATCAGAACCACATCGAATTCCTCTCACGCTTCACTCCCTCTCTGCTTTACTTCCTTTGCTCCCTCTCGTTCTTCCCTGCTCTGCAGGCTCTCAGTGGCTCTGCTGCCAATCCGCCTGCGCATGGACCAGAACCACATCGAATTCCTCTCACGCTTCACTCCCTCTCTTCTTTACTTCCTTTGCTCCCTCTCGTTCTTCCCTGCTCTGCAGGCTCTCAGTGGCTCTGCTGCCAATCCGCCTGCGCATGGACCAGAACCACATCGAATTCCTCTCACGCTTCACTCCCTCTCTGCTTTACTTCCTTTGCTCCCTCTCGTTCTTCCCTGCTCTGCAGGCTCTCAGTGGCTCTGCTGCCAATCCGCCTGCGCATGGACCAGAACCACATCGAATTCCTCTCACGCTTCACTCCCTCTCTGCTTTACTTCCTTTGCTCCCTCTCGTTCTTCCCTGCTCTGCAGGCTCTCAGTGGCTCTGCTGCCAATCCGCCTGCGCATGGACCAGAACCACATCGAGTTCCTCTCACGCTTCTTCTCTACAGCCGGTGCTGCTACAGCTGGTACCTGTGCCTCTGAAACAGCATCAGCAGCAGCATCAGCAGCAGCACCGGCGGTGATGGCAGATGGAGAGCTCCTACGAGATGCCTTGCTGCCATTCTTCCAGGTCAGACAGACTCTAACCTTTGTCCAGGTCAGACAATCCGGGTTCTTTTCTTTGAAGCAGCATCAACAGCATCAGCGTCAGCAGCAGCACCGCCGGTGATGGCAGATGCAGAGCTCCTACGAGATGCCTTGCTGCCATTCTTCCAGGTCAGAATATATCCATGTTCCTCTTGCAGCCGCTCTTTCCAAGTTTAGATGTTCCCAAGTTCCGTTCTTTTTCCATTTCCTCTCAATACCCTCAGGTTTCCTCTTTCAGCTCCATTTGCATTCTTTTTCACCTCCTCCCACCCCATTCCCCACACTCGCCACCTGCCAGCCAGGTGTATGTGAGATTCGGGCCTTCTCACTCCTGATCGGCTATGTGCCTCGCGAGTTCAAACTTGAACCTGTCAGCTCTTTCCACGGGAAACTACGTCCACGGCCCACCTGAGAAGATTTATGAGGCTCCTCAAGAACCTGTCAGCTCAGCTCTTTCCACGGGCAACCATGCCCACCTGCTCAACCTCTCAACACGCTAACACACTCAGGATGACTATTATCCTCCCGGCCCCGCTTCCCGTCCCCCCTCATTCTCCAGGTGTGTGAGATTCGGGCCTTCTCAGTCTTGATCGACTACGTCCCTCGACGTCTAGACCTCTCAGCTTGCAAAAGGCAATCATATAGAATTTATATTTCTTCTCCCCGCCTCTGCCCGTCCCCCCTCATTCTCCAGGTGTGTGAGATTCGGGCCTTCTCGGTTTTGATCGACTATGTGCCCCGTCGCTTGGACCTATCAGCTCTTTCTGCTGGCAACTACGCTCACCTGCTCAACCTCATCTCATGGAAGGTGTGTGGTGCGTGCGTGCGTGCGTGCGTGTGCGTGTGGGTGGGTGAGTGGGCGGGTGCATGTGTCGCTTGGACCTATCAGCTCTTTCTGCCGGCAACTACGCTCACCTCCTCAACCTCATCTCATGGAAGGTGCGAATGGAGGGAAGAGGGGAGGGGGCGGGGGGGGGGGGGGGGTGTGGTTCGGGGGGTATGTGCACGTGGTTCGATGGCAGTGTGCGTGTGTTGGCCGGCGTCTCAAGTTTTTTCAACTTTTGAGGCGTCTCAAAGTTTTTTCAGCAACTAGGCTTACGTCCTCAACCTCATCTCGTGAAAGGTGCGTTGAGTGGGTGCGTGTGGTTGGGTGCGTGTGGTTGGGTGCGTGTGGGTGGGTGCGTGTGGGTGGGTGCGTGTGGGTGGGTGTGTGTGAACCTTTTAAGACGTCCCAAGGGTGAACATCCTCGTGTTCCCTCTACTACCATCCTTCCCACTCGCCTTCACCGCCTTACCTTTTTCCCCTTGTCCCCACGGCGTTGAGATCGATTTCACCAAGGCGAGATGACTTTTGAGTCGACTCAAAAGCCCACTCGCCTTCACCGCCTTACCTCTTTTTCCCCTTGTCCCCACGGCGTTGAGATCGATTTCACCAAGGCGAGAGTGGTGGGCGTGCAGGGGTGGGGCAGACTAGGAGGAGTACTTTTGATACGTCTCAAAAATAACCTCATTACAGGAGGAGAACTTTTGAGACGTCTCAAAAATAACCTCATTACAGGAGGAGCACTCATGGGCCAATGGATGAAGGACACAGCTTCTCCCCTTCCCCCCTCTGCACGTTCTCTGTGTCTCCCTTGGAAACACCGCATCCCTTGGAAACACCGCATCCCTTGGAAACACCGCATCCCTTGGAAACACCGCATCCCTTGGAAACACCGCATCCCTTGGAAACACTGCATCCCTTGGAAACACCGCATCCCTTGGAAACACCGCATCCCTTGGAAACACCGCATCCCATCCCCAAAGCAGGGCGTTGAGATTGACTCCGCTGAGGCGAGAGTGGTGGGCGTGCAGGGGTGGGACGGGGTAGGCTAGCAGGGGCGCGCATTGGCCAATGGCTAAATATCTCCTCGAATGGCCCTTGTATTTAATGTCTCCTCTGCCTCCCTCCCTCCCTCCCATCTGCTCCTTCTTTAATCTCTCTTGTAAACGCCTCATGGCAGGGTGTTGAAATCGATTTCACGAAAGCCAGGGTGGTGGGCGTGCAGGGGTGGGACGGGCTAGGGGGAGCGCTCATCAGCCAATGGGCGGAGGACATCTGTCGCCGCCAGCTGCATCGGGTGGTGAAGGCGGCTGGGCCTGTCAGCCCCCTGTGGGCCCTAGGTGCTGCTTCTATACAGCTGGTGCTGCTGCCGGTTCAGGAGTACAGGCAGAACAAGAGGCTGATGCGAGGGGTGAAGAGAGGTGAGGAACGGTGGAAGGTGGTGAGTCTTGCAATGTCCCGACGCTGGGGGTAAGTCCACTCAAAAGTCAGCTCGGTACTCACCTCATCCTCCGAGTCTCCTCTCTGCCCCTAACCACCCCCACCACCAGGTGCCATCTTTTTCCTCCAGTCGCTCTCCCACGAGCTGCTGGGCGTGGGGGTGACAGTGGCAGCCGGCACACACCACCTGCTGCACGCACCACCTGCTGCACGCAGCAGAAGCTCTTGGTGCTCCTCTCACCCTCCTCTCTGTGCCCCTCACCCTATTCGTGTGCCCCTGTGCTATCTCCTGTGACAGGTGCCATCTTTTTCCTTCAATCGCTCTCTCATGAGCTGCTGGGCATGGGGGTGACAGTGGCAGCCGGCACACACCACCTGCTGCACGCAGCAGAGCTCGCCCTCGCTGCTACAAATGCCGCTACAACCGCTACAGCTGGCCCTGCTGCTCCTGCTACAGCCGCTACAGCCAGTCCCCGTCTTCCTCTTACAAGCTCCTCCTCCACATCCCACCATATCACTCCCTCCTCTTCCACTCCATCTGCAGCCCGTTCTTTCTCTTCCCCCTCTTCTTCCTCCTGTTCACTCGCTTTCTCCTCATCCTCCTCGTCACCATCCGCCCGTGCAAGAAGCAGCAGCCGCGATAAGGCGCCTTGCGATTGGCGGGAGCTTGGGGAGCATGGAAGCTTCGAGGAAGGCTCACACTGGGTCACTGTGTTTGCTGACAGTGGCAGCGGCAGCAGCAGCAGCGGCGGTGGCGGTGGCTGTGGCAGCAGCAGCGGTATTGGCGGTGGCTTTGGCAGTGGTATTGGTAGTGGCAGTGGGTGTTCTTCTGTAGGAGCCTTGGCAGCAGCTCAAGAGGTGCTGAACCGTAGTGTGGAAAGAAGCCTGTCCTCGTTATTAGGTGCTCCGCTAAGGAAATGGAGGCGAGGGGACGGAATGCCTGCAGTGGCAGCGGCGGTGGTGAAAGGCATCCCAGCAGCAGCCATGGCTTCTGTGGTTGGGGCGGCTGAAGCTCTAGAGGAAACACTTCGTGGAGTGAAACGCACGTGAGTCTGCTTTCTCTCAGATGCATTTGAGCCTGATTGCTTTCTCTTTTAGGTCGAGCATTGGTCGTGTCAAGGCAAGTCCCAGCAGCGGTCATGGCTCCTGTGGTGGGGGCGGCTGAAGCTCTGGAGGAGACGCTTCGAGGGGTAAAAAGCTCGTGAGTCCACTTTCTCTCACTCTCTGTAGGCCATCCCATAAGGCAATTGGTGCGATCCTGTGGTGGGGGCGGCTGAAGCTCTGGAGGAGACACTTCGAGGGGTCAAACGCATGTGAGTTTGCCTCTCCTCTCTCAGATGCATTTGAGCCTGATTGCTTTCTCTTTTAGGTCATCCATTGGTCATGTCAAGTCAAGCTCCAGTAGAAGCCACCATGGCTCCTGTGGTCGGGGCGGCTGAAGCTCTGGAGGAGACGCTTCGAGGGGTCAAACGCACGTAAGTGCGCCTCTCCTCTCTCAGATGCATTTGACATTGAATACCATATCCTTCTCGTTTTGGCCATCCGTTAGTCGTCTCAAGTCAGGCTCCAGCATTCTAGTTTTGAGGCGCCTCAAAACTAAAATATCCTTCTCGTCTTGGCCATCCGTTAGTCGTGCCAAGTCAGGCTCCTGCAGAAGCAGCCATGGATCCTGTGGTTGGGGCTGCTGAAGCTCTGGAAGAGACACTTTGAGGGATGAGACACACGTGAGTGGTAAAATGTCAGTCACGCACGTGAGGGAGTGAGTGACGCACTATGCACGTCAGTCTCGTGACGCATTTCACTACGCATTGGAAATATCAGTTCATTTTCACTACGCATTTCAACTTGGAATTTTCGGGTTCAACTCGAAGGTGGCAATGCAAGTGTGTACATTCCCCTCCTCAGAGCCTCCCCTTGCACATTCCAGCTTGGAATTCTGAAGTATCAGCAGAGACTTCTTCTAATTACCGCGTTAGCAGCTGCTGTGGATTCTGCACAAGTGCTCAGTCTCTCACTTGTTATTGCTGCCTGCCATCTCCCTCGCCGCCTGTTGATCCTTGCAGGATTGCGCCAAGGAAGTAGCAGTGGTTTACTGTAGCTGAGCTCGCTCTTCCATCTGATGTGAGCATTTGTTCTACACATAGTTTTGATGTGCCCAAACAGCATTCTTGAAGTCGAACAGTCATAATGAGGCGAAGCCGAGGTATCCATTAAAGACAGAGGGAGGCAGTAAAACTGCAGCATCTTGAACAAATAAAGTGATTATCCGAGCTGCGGAGCCTAAAGTGGTGGTTGTGGGAATTTGTTTTTGGACAAACAACGTTACAGGAGATCAACCTGATTAGAGTTTGCTGGATGCACGTTTGCTGAACACCGACATTTTGAAACAGAAATAATAAAATAAATCATAAATACATACAAATGCAAACCATATTCCAAAACACTGTACTTCCTTTCCACCGTTCCCTTCCGAACTGAGTTCTCCATTTCTTCCCGTCACCTTCACAACAGCATCACAAGTGCAAGGAAAATTCCTTTTCCTTACTTCGCGTCCCCTCTCAGCGCATACACCACTGTAGCACCACACTCAGCACCGTTACCACTCGCAACTCTCGCATCGACAATCCTCCCGCCACCTTCGCACGTCGCACCCCGACCTCACGGCTCGGTGGGTAACCCGCGCTCCGGGCCTTCGCTTCGACACTTTTCCCAACCTCAGTCCCAAGCCCGTCACGCGACAACCACAATCCATTACCGTTACCACTGTAGTTTCGCTATATATTCTTCGCTCATGCCTTCGCTCATTGTACACTTGCTTCGATAGTGCAATTCTCGCTCGCTCACTCAATTGCACTCGTAACACTTGGTAATCAGAGCCTACGATCCCTTCTCGGACCGCACCCACACCTTCGCTTCCTCACTATCTCAATTTTTGGGGGGGGGTAGACGTCCCTCAGCGTCACAGCACCGCCGCTCGGAGTGCTCTCTCGTAAGCACGCACGGCCACGACCGAGGCTCTCGCTGAGCTCGCCCGACACCCCCGCCATGGCCGAATTCACGCTCGCCACATTGACGCAGAAGCAGCTCGACCGTCTGGTGCGCCAACTTGAAGATTCGGCGCTCGAAATTGCGACGCTCATGGCGAAACGTGACTCCGCGCGTCAGCAATCAACGGTGAACACTCCAGCGCCACCACACGCACCGACAAATGCATCTGCACAATCGGACGAGCCGATCGTCATCTCGTCCGGCACACCAACACAAAACAACAGCGTGGGACAGAGCTCAGGCGCAGCCAGTGATGGCGCCGCCCAGCCGATGCCTGGCATGGGAGGAAACAGGGTCGCACCAAGCCCGCGGGAGCCTCGCGAAGCCCGTCGGCACGTGGAGTTTGCGGCGACAAGTGGCGAACAGGCCATTATGGCACCAATGCTACTCAAGCCGCAACGCCCGCCCTGCTTCGACCCGAGCCAGCGTGGAGGTCCGACGGTTCAATCGTGGGTCTTCACGATGAATGTCTTCTTTGACGCGAATTACGTCGAGTCAGACGCAACGAAGATTCGGCATGCCGTTTCGCTGCTAAGGGGCCCCGCCATGGACCGGTGGCGAGTCATCGTGACGTCGCCACGCGCCTACGAGCCACCGTTGCAAGAGGAAGGGCTCACGGGTCCAGCTGTCACCTGGAGTTCATTCTGCGAAACCGCCCAATACAGCACGTGGGATGCGTGGTGCGCAGGGCTTCGGGCGCGCTTCGAGCCGATCGCGGCTTCTATTTCGGCGCGTCAGAGATTGCGCACTTGGCGGCAGCTCGGGTCGGTTCAAGACTATACGAGTGGTTTTCTCGCATTATGCGAGCAAGTCGGCTACATGCACGAAGCGGAGCGGGTGGACCGTTACGTCGGAGGGCTAAAGCCGGACATCTCGCATGAAATCATGCTACGCGGGCTCTCGAACTTCAACGAGATTCTCGCGCTCGCCGAGAAAATCGACATTTTGCGCCGTCCGAGACCGGGGTCCTACTACGGACATTGTCCTCGGGAACCGATCGAGCACGCCACTGTACACGCCGTTGCGACGAATGCAGCTGCCGCGCCGTTTAAGGGGCGCTGCTTTGCTTGCAATAGGCCGGGCCATCGCAAGAGCGAATGCCCAGAGGAGCTAAGGCGCCGCGGAGCAGAGCAGGGGAGGGAGTCTTCAAGGCAGGGAAACGCCAGCAGTCAGTAGGAATCGGGCCAACTATTGACGAGACTGCCTGCTTGCCCAACCCCACTGACCCTCACCGAGTCACAGTACCGATTCATGCTATCGATCACACTCGGATGAATAAGGTGTTGGAATCACTGAACAGGACTGAATGAACTAGCAATGAAATGAGTACAAGTACCTAACCCTAGAATTGTGTACCCCCTATAGGCTAACCCACTGTAGCCTAAACTAACACAACATATAAAATGTTAAACACACCCCCATAGGCAAAGTGGGGGAGAACTAGGGGTCACAAGACCAGTCAAGGCAAAGCAAGGCAAAACAAGCTCAGGGTGGATCTCAAGGATACCACACAAATTCCGAGCACAAGCAAGTGGTCACAAGACCAATTCATATGCAGGTTTATAATAGAGCAAAAGGTACAATGATCACAACCTAACAAGAGTAAACATGCAGGTATATATATAGAGATCACAGTACAAATAGACTCAAGAAGTAAGCAAGTGAGGTCCAGTAGGCACAAGGCCTAGAAGAGTGCAAAAGCGCTGATGGTCATAAGGCTGAAGCGCCTTGGTGAACACATCAGCAGTGTTGGCCTCAGAGGCCACGTAACGCAGGCGAAGCTGACCACGCTACTGCAGCTCTCGAGCAAGGAAGTAACGCAGAGCAATGTGCTTCGTTCTGTGCTCCAATCTGTGCTCCTCACACAAGGCAATGGCTGCCTTGTTGTCGACGTACAGCACTGGAGGAGAACGAGGCTGCTCTCCAAGGTCGGTCAACAAGTAGGTGAGCCAGCATAGCTCCTGGGCCGCCATGGCTGTGGCGTAGATCTCAGCCTCACAACTGGAGCTGAGAACAGAAGAAGAGCGAGTAGAACGCCAAGAAACAGAACCAGAGCCAAGACTGAAGGAGTAACCCTGAGACGACCGCTGAGTAGCCTGGTCGTCTGCCCAAGAAGCGTCTGAGTGCCCAGTGAGAACAACTGGGACTCGCCCTCCAAGCACTAGCCCCATGCCCGACGTACTGCACAAGTAGCGCAACACCCTCTTAGCTGCATCCATGTGCTCCTTCCGGTGACGGCCGGGAGCGACATAGCGTGCAAGAATGCTAAGAGGGTATGCAAGGTCTGGTCGAGTGCAGGTCATCAGGTACATGAGGCAACCCACAAGCTCTGGATACGGGCCACTCGGCTCTACGGACTCATCCGAAGGCAGAGCTGAGAGCGAGTGACCGGTAGGCAGAGGAGTGGGCTGAGGCGAGGAGTACGTGAAGCGGAAGCGCTGAAGGACCTGCTGCACCATGTGTGACTGAGTCAAGGTGATGGTGCAGCGTGCTCTGTCCCGGGTGATCCGCAAGCCAAGATAGCTTGTCAGTTCACCCAGGTCTGTGCACGTGTGTCTCTTCTGCAGCTCCGACTTCACGTGGGCGAGTGCCACAGTGTCAGCAGTAGCAAAGACCAAGTCGTCGACGTACACAAGGACGTAGAACGGCGGCAGTGAGGTGTCGGTGCGTAGAAACAGCGACGGGTCAGCAGTAGAAGGCGCGAACCGAAGAGCCGCAAGCGTAGTCCTCAGTGTGTCGTGCCACTCACGAGGCGCCTGGCGGAGACCGTAGACTGGCCGTCGGGGGCTCCACTGGGTACCAGGAGGTAACGACCTAGTGAAGCCAGGTGGACGGCGCAGCCAGATCTCCTCGTGCAGGCTGTCCTGCAGGAAAGCAGTGCTGAAGTCAAGCGAGTGGAGCTCGTAGTCACGCTGAGCGGCGACGTGCAGCAGAACCCGAAGAGTGGTCATCTTCGGGGTCGGGGAGAAGGTCTGGAAGAAGTCAACTCCCTCTCGCTGACTGAAGCCTCGTGCAACGTAACGCGCCTTGAAGACAGGCGGAGAGCCCGGCGGCCGCTTCACCCTGAAAATCCACATGCCACTGACGATGTTCGCCCCAGGTGGGGGAACCTTGTTGACGTAGGTGCCTCTGGACTTCCAGGAAGCCATCTCTGTGTCCATGGCTGACTGCCACTGAGAGGAGTAGGGACCGGCCATCGCCTCTGCGTAAGAGCGTGGGGTCAGGATGTCTGGTGCATCCGGGTCTCCCTCAGGGGCAACAAGCATGGACACGAGATGGGGCAAAGCGGCAGCAAAGCACTCAAACTCCTCCTGCCTGTCCTCAAGGACGTCAGTGCCAAGAGCACACTCACCCCCGACGGACGGAGGACAGACAGACTCAGACTCAGAGGAAGGGTCAGTGACAGCAGTAGCCAGGAGACGTGTGACAGTAGGACTGGTAGCACGAAGAGAGTCTGACCCAGGGTCAGCAAGAGCAGGAAGAGAGGAAGCCGGAGGAGACGGCAGTGGGACACGCTGTGGAGCAGTGGACGGACGAAGCGCCATCCGGTGAGTGCCTGGGACAGCAGGAAGACGCTGACGCTGGACTCGACTACTAGATAGAGCAGTGCGGACAGGCGACTCAGGACGAGACTCAGGCGACGCAGGAGGAGACGCAGGCTCACGCCGCTCAGTAAGACCTCCAGTCGGACCAGTGTAAGGAGCAGGACCAGGGAGAGAGGAGGCAGACGATAACGCCGACTGTAGCTGGACATGCGAAGGACACGCTAAGGAGGGAGGAGGAAAAGGAGGAGGAAGCTGACCAAGAACCTGCTGAAGGAGCGGAACAAAGTACGGCCGAGACCGAGCAGCGACACCAGAGCCAGCAGGGACACCCGCACCAGGGTCCGCAACACCAGCAGCAGCTCCAGCGCCCACGTCCTCAGCACCAGCGGCAGCTCCAACGCCCGGGTCCTCAGCACCAGCGGCAGCTCCAATGCCTGGGTCCTCAGCACCAGCACCAGCTCCAACGCCCGGGTCCTCAGCACCAGCAGC